AGTATCAGCTTGGTTATTTGCAATCATCCGGATGACTTATAATGTCGCAGTAAACACATTTCACAGTCTATCACAAGATTAACAGGGCGTCAATCTTTCAAGAAACACACAAAACACACACACACACACACACACACACAAATCATTAAAAAAATACACACACACACACAAACCATACACATGTGGACGCCGGGATCTCCTTGGGAATTCTTATTTGGTGGCGGAAGAAAATATATATACAGTAAAGCGCGTTTGTAACGAACACGCATACAACGAATTAATGGTTATAACGTAGTGTTTTTCATTCCCCGTCAATCGTCCTTTCATTTATATGTTAAAATCAAAATATATACCGAATTCCACTTAACGAATGAATGTCTATAACGTAGCAGCTTTTGGGTCCGCTCAGGTGAATATCAGTGCTAATTAGTAACCTTATAACGTGGTAGCCTCGGGCAGTCGTCCCACCTGAGTGAAGTCAGCTGTTGTCCAGTATCGACACCCGTGTCCAGGGACAAATAGGATGACACCTGTCCAGGTAAGTTTCAATTACATACAGGTAAGATCGACAAATAAAGTGAGTTGTTGTTATACGTACTTGCGTTCTATTGTTTTTTGAGTTTTGAGTTACTGACCCGATTTTATCGATACAAAATCTTTGCGTTCTGTTCTTGTTGTCGTCATTTTGGAAATGGCTTCGTCGTCGCCATCTCGTAAGCGGAAGGCGTTAACAATTGAAAACAAATACGAAGTTATTTGTGAAGTAGACAATAGGGAAAAGGCTAACAAGGATATTGCAGATAGCTTCGAAATTCCAGCAACAACATTGAGTACAATTGTTTAAAATAGAAATGTTTTAAGGGTGTGAAATCTCTATCTGTTGTATATAAGGCAAACACTAAAGCCTGGATGACATTTAACATTTTTACGGATTGGATTAAAACTCTGGATCGCAAAATGATAGCACAAAAGACACTTAAGAAGATTTCGGACAGTAACAAAAAGCAAACTGTCATTTGTGATTTTTTCAAGTATATAGACCCTGGCATTTCTTGTGGAGAGTGACCATAAGGTAGTAATGAATTTGAACTTTTCGCCAGAATTAGTCTTAGATAATCACAAAAGTTGATGAAGATAGATTTTTACGGCTGAAACATCCAAGGCAAAATTAGATTATGAATATTTGTTTATTTACATTTAGTTAACACTAACATAGGGTACATATTTCGCTGACACAATACACTAACATAGGGTACATATTTCGCTGACACAATAATATTGGAACTTGAAAAGGCCATTGCCCTTTATCTTATGAATTGAAGATAATAAGCTCGTTTCAAGGTATAACCATCCTTAAGTGTGCTCAAACCTTTATCTGGATTAATTTGAGAGATCGTGCGAGTAAAACACGAGACAACAGCTCTACCAGGGAGGTATTCCACGACTTATACCTGATAAGTAACCTACATACAGGCGGCGGTTATACATATTATACACGTTGAAAATACCCCCTCCCCCGAAAGAAACCCCCGCCCATCCCCCACATAGGAACATATATATCATAAGCTTTCTGTGTCCATTTGAAAAATGTTTTAGCGTGACCGTGGACTGTTGTAACGAATTGTGTATCACATGAAAACCTGCGTGGGTGACACAAGTTACACATTTTGAGGTTCCAGTAACAAATGAGTAGGACTAAATGGAGGCCAAACAAATATTTCTTAAAATTATTGATATTAGTATACATTTGTTTTTTCAATATCTATTGATATTTCTGTATATCATTCTATACCTTTTTCTATACACTGATAGTTGTACAGTATACATTTTAAAAAATATTTGTTTATATTAGTGTATATCATTGTTATATACGGAACACCAAGGCTTTCATAGAGTTGACATACGAATAGATAATTGATATATTAATTTACCCTAGTAGGTTTACAGTATTTATCATCTAGGTGATATTGCCTAGCTAGTATACATTATCATTAATCACGACGTCATAATTCATTATCTATTTTTCATTATTTTTTACAGATCGATGTCATTTCCTAGTGTTCTACTGACTGAGAATCTTTAATTAGTGTAATAGAGCTATCTTGAAGACAATATTCTAAACGTACATAACTACAGCAATACCAGACGTTTAATCCGTTTGATTGGCACCGATATATTATTGGCCGAGCTGAGTATTACCCCTACTATGTTTGCCTACTTTAACCATACTTGATTGGGGCGTGTTTAGTATCTACCACACAAACACGCCATATACTGAAATAAATGGTCTTTAATCCTAATATTTGTGGGAGTCAACTTTCATACCAAGGTTCGCGTGTTTTGCCTATGTCATGATATTTGTTATTGTACCAGCTCTCCTGCTTATCAATTTTAGTTGTATACAATGTATACATTACTTATAACGATCGCAACTACTACACAGACTCAATAACTTTATCATTTTTCTATAGTAACGCTCTTGTGCGTGGGAACGTGTTTTAATTGCCTTTTCCTTACCTAGTTTCAATGACTGGGACGTGTAGTGGTCTTCCTTGTTAAACATCACTAATAGGAGTATAAAAATGTTTGATTTGGATCGAAAGTAATTGAACATTGAAAACCTTCATTTCAAATATCTAGAAAATAAACCGACAATGTAAATAGACCGAATTTAGAAAAAAATCCCATGCAGTTTTAACAAAAAATCTGTCACACGAACTCACTTTTTGTAGATGACAAAATTTTTCATTCCATGTGTCGGAAAGGTCCGGGCGATTGTTATTGAAAGTCTACTTTCCTTTCCAGAAGAAAACATCAACATTTCAAAGTCGTCAAAATCAAACCTTGTATAGTATACCGTGTTTATATTACCTTGTCAGTAGAACTATTCTGTGAGCTACAAAAGTCAAATGGAATACGGCTGATGGGTAATGTTGTCCCTGTGCGAGTGTCGGCATTCCTGAATTACATCTCGTCGACAGAAAATCCTGCTCACGTGATGAATTAATAAAACAATTTAATTGTGATAAAAAATCAAAATCGAAAAAAAGTAGCCAGTGGCGGTGAGATTAATCTACATAAGATGTATATTGTTTACAACAGATTAGGTTGTTAAGAAATAATCTTTTATTTCCTTGGTAATGATATAAGCCTATGACTCCTCAAAACCAATGTTTACATTGCATTATCAAATGCTAACTAGAAAAGTTACCCTGTTGATTAAGAAGCCGGATATTTTTCAGTTTGTTTGTCCTGGGTGACGTATACCGGATGGCGTTGTGTTTCGAAATCATCAAAGCTGTTTGTTGACGAGAAGATGTAAAGTAAGGTCTGACAAGTTCAACTAGAAATTGAATTGATGCACTTTCATTGATGTCAATATTTTCTTCTATTGATTCAAAATATTTCAAGTAACCTAACGCAATGGCAATAACAGAAAATGAAAACCTAACTACGATATATGGGTTATATTCGGATTGATATAACGATGTGGTAAGTTGTCTGTGCCACAGGTCCACTAGCAGGAATTAAATATAGTCAGTAAGGTTATTATGAAACGCCTCTTTAAACAACACCAAGAATGTAAAACGGTCCACATAACGGTCAACAGCAAGTGTGAGTAGCAAAATGTCTGGTGCTTTCACCACCTTGTTTGAACGACACTAATTTATATGGAATCTCTACGTACTGCTTATTAGAAATATGAAATACAGTGTCACAAAAGTAGCCATAGCAACCCTGATATTAAAGCCTCGAGACGGAAGATCCAATTAAAAATAAGTTATACGTGAAATGACTTACACTTAAAAAAAAATTCGCACCATTCGTGAATATCATTCTTTTTAAATGATAAGAAAATCCTCTGCCGTTTCTAAAGTTTCAGTTTTTGGCATTCACCATCACTGACGGGATCCAGGAGGAGGAAACAGCTGTATGAAGGATCGTGATTGATTAATTCTTGATTTGTAACTGTTTCTAATTTGGATGTTTTACAAAATGTACATTTCACTTGTTTGTTTCATTCAACCCTTTGATTCACACATCAATATTCTTAGAAATGCTTACTTACTTATTTTTACTGTCGATACAACACAACAAAATGTCTTGAATGTTTATGAAGAAAAATTGTCATCTCTTCAGCTTAATGTGATTTCATTTAACGTGGGTATCAATATCTGTTACCAAAGAATCATGATTAAGTTCCAATGCTTAGGTAAAAAAACAACCAAGAAAATGTAATTAATATCCAGGTTTTACTTATATGTCTGCCAATAATAGCATACACAATTTAATGATAAAAATACAAATTCAAAGATGATGATGATGATGATGATGATGATGATGATGGTGATGATGATGATGATTTATTCTTCTAGAGAACAAATTCAACGGCAAATAGTTACTTATTTTAATTATAAGATTTTAAAGTTTGAATGTCCATTAAGATAACGAGATGGCACCGTTTAGCCTGAAGGGTTAATGTGACCAGACCACACCAAAGTCAGCACTAACAACACGACATGACTGGGAGTGACGCCACAGTGTGACGGGCGTTCAGCAATACGTGCTCAGTCTTCGTAGATACCGGCTTATGGTCTATCAAAGAACAAATAATCACCATAAGTTAGGCTATCGAAATATTTCCCGCACTGCGGTGTAGTTGACGACTCCATCTGATTTGCATAGGTTATCATGGGATATTATCCAGTGTTATAGGTGGGGAATGTTTGTTTATGATAGAGGCGTAACGAGATAAAAATCTTTTCTGATTGACAGAATACACTTAAGATACATTACAATGGATTTAATGTGTAGAAAGTTAATGTCTTGACTTGTCCGAATGTCGGGTATATAACACGAAAATCCAGCCCCTACCCTCCGTCTCTCACGTAGGAACCTGAGGGAGGCGATACCTACAAACACCTCTCCCAAATTGCAGGAGTTTTTTTTTCTCATTAGTTATTTTTTTAACATATCTTAATTGGAAAAGACAATTCATAATGATTTCAAGAACATTTTTGATTTTGGGACTGGCGTATCTGTGTAGTGGCCAGATGCAGGATCAAACACGAGTCCCTGGAGCAAGCGGTTCTGCCGTGGTAGAGGCTGTCATCAACCTCATCCATGAATCTTGCATATTCCCCAACGACAGACTGTATCTTCGCAGGTTGGCTTACGTCGAGTCCCAGGACGGCACAGCAAACGATACCTACAGAGTAGGCTACAATGGTGGAATATGGCAGGTGAGTTAGCCGTCACAGGATGGAAATGACATTTACTGTATATATTACAGATATATATCCCTTTGCTGCGTTTTGGAAATGTAAAGTTCAAATCTAGCATGTTTCATCAATAGAAAAATACTATTTATAAAACATGTAAAAACGAAACTTATTGAATTATGAATTGTTGGGCTAGTATACCTCACCGTCTAGATGTTGACTTTTCTTTCGATCACTTTGGATTTTTCTCAATCGCCTGATTGGCTTCAAAATGTACACCCTAAGCATCACTAACGAGTTCTAGAAGGACAAAACAACTGTATCATATAGTTTAAATAATTATTTGCCTCAATATTTATTTCAATGCCTACGCTAGGATTCGAACCCGAGACCCCTTGCTTACACGTCTGATGCTCAATCGATCGAGCTTAAGAGACGTTCTTGCGCTATATTACCATATCTTACCAGCGTACATATACCTAACCCTAGAAAGACATTAAGATGTGTTCCATTTTGTACCATCCTATCTGATACCAATGATAGCAAATGTAACTGTTTAAACAATTATTTCAACAAGGCAGTTACAGTGGAGTATCGCTGATCAATAACCTTTTGATTTAACACTAACTAGAATTGTACTTATGGACGTGCAATAGCTGTAAAGCCCAATTTCATACTTCTACCATGCGGAATGGTGCCAGCATTTCATGAAAGATGTCATCAGCTGACTGACACGGGGTTTCAAGAGATGCAGGTCTTATTCTAATTGCACTCTTTCTGCAGTCTCCGTGATATTATTTTCTTTGTTCATATATTGCCCTAGTTTTATTGAATTTGAGTTTGGTTTATGAGATTATGCTCACATATAGGTATTTTCTCGTTCGGCTACGAGTTTCAGGCAAGCAATCCTTACGTTACGTTGTGTAATCTATACAATGACCAAGAGTGCCACACAACTCGTCTCAAAATGTTCAGTGCCATGCTTAGACCTTAGACAGTAACACGTGGAAGTCCATTTACCGTAGACCTCAGACAGTAACACGTGGAAGTCCATTTACCGTAGACCTTAGAGAGTGACACGTGGAAGTCCATTTACCGTAGACCTTAGACAGTAACACGTGGAAGTCCATTTACCGTAGACCTTAGACAGTAACACGTGGAAGTCCATTTATCGTAGACCTTAGACAGTAACACGTGGAAGTCCATTTACCGTAGACCTTAGACAGTAACACGTGGAAGTCCATTTACCGTAGACTTTAGACAGTAACACGTGGAAGTCCATTTACTGTAGACTTTATACAATAACACGTGGAAGTCCATTTACCGTAGACCTCAGACAGTGACACGTGGAAGTCCATTTACCGTAGACCTCAGACAGTGACACGTGGAAGTCCATTTACCGTAGACTTTAGACAGTAACACGTGGAAGTCCATTTACCGTAGACCTCAGACAGTGACACGTGGAAGTCCATTTACCGTAGACCTCAGACAGTGACACGTGGAAGTCCATTTACCGTAGACCTCAGACAGTGACACGTGGAAGTCCATTTACCGTAGACTTTAGACAGTAACACGTGGAAGTCCATTTACCGTAGACCTCAGACAGTGACACGTGGAAGTCCATTTACCGTAGACCTCAGACAGTGACACGTGGAAGTCCATTTACCGTAGACCTCAGACAGTGACACGTGGAAGTCCATTTACCGTAGACTTTAGACAGTAACACGTGGAAGTCCATTTACCGTAGACCTCAGACAGTAACACGTGGAAGTCCATTTACCGTAGACCTCAGACAGTGACACGTGGAAGTCCATTTACCGTAGACCTCAGACAGTGACACATGGAAGTCCATTTACCGTAGACCTTAGACAGTGACATGTGGAAGTCCATTTACCGTAGACTTTAGACAGTAACACGTGGAAGTCCATTTATCGTAGACCTTAGACAGTAACACGTGGAAGCCCATTCACCGTAGACCTCAGACAGTAACACATGGAAGTCCATTTACCGTAGACCTCAGACAGTGACATGTGGAAGTCCATTTACCGTAGACTTTAGACAGTAACACGTGGAAGTCCATTTATCGTAGACTTTAGACAGTAACACGTGGAAGTCCATTTACCGTAGACTTTAGACAGTAACACGTGGAAGTCCATTTACCGCAGACCTTAGACAGTAACACGTGGAAGTCCATTTACCGCAGACCTTAGACAGTAACACGGTAGCACGTGAAAGTCCATTTCCGTTTGGAATTTTTTAACGACATATTACTCAAAACGAAATAAAAGTATTGATGTTGCTATACATTCATTGAGAATGAAAGTAACTATCAGCCGGTGCATTTTCTTTCAGTTTACTCATTCTCCTCAAAGAATGGATAACTCTCAGATTCGAACAAGACACTAAAATTTAAATAGTTTTACCTCATTTCTTTCTTTTACAGCGATTCAATAGAAACATTAGCAAAACGGACAAATGTCTTTCAGATTTCGTTCTTTCCTTTTCTTATCAATTTTTCTATTTCTATCTTTAAGTCCTTCATTGTTTGCTTTCTTTCTTTTTCATGTTTATATATATTTTAACAGATTGATGAGGACCAGTTTAAACAGACACAGTCAGCTGTAATGTTGGCCACAGCCAGAGCTCTCCTTAGGAACACATTGACAATCGATTGGTCATCAGCTAAATGGGAAGACTTAAGAAAACCTCTGTATTCTGGTGTGGCCGCCGCTCTCTATACGCTTCTCAAGTCTGGATCGGGTGTCCTCCCCAGTTCCGTAGAAAAACAGAGTTCTTTCTGGATTAACACCACAAAACACACTATTTTCGACGCCAACAAATACTACAAAGCAGTCAATGAGTTACAAGGAGGTAAGCTATCAGTCACTCTTTTTTAACAAAAAAAACAAACAAGATTCGATACATATGTGTAATTTATTTTTCCGAGGCATAGCTGTGCCATACTACCTCTGCATACCATTACAACCATTTTTATTATCTTGTTTGATATCAGTTGATAAATGCAGAAATGCCAACATGATCATAATTCAAAATCGAAATCGATGAAATGGAGACAAAATATTGCCAAAAGAAGATTTACAATGATTTTGAAAAATGGATGAGAATATGAGTTAGCTTCATTTCCGTAATCAACGTCATCGTTAAGTAAATCTTGTTAAATCCTAGTAAATAATATCACGTTCCCAAACAACGACACGATTAACAACAAAAGAGTCACCAAGTAAACCAGCGTAACAGGCATATCTTTTAACCAAGAGACCGTAGACAGTCCGTTACGTAAGCAAATGACATCATAATGAAATTAGTTTATATATAGGCATTTTTGTATGTAATAAGTTTCAAATATTTATCAAATCTTCGTTTTCCTAAACAAAAGTAATGACATGTTTTATCTTATTTCTAGGATGCCGCAGCACCAATGCTATTGACTTGGTTTTTGTTGTGGACAGCTCAGCAAGTCTTTCTCCATCCGATTTTGATATCACAAAGCAATTTGTAAAGGATGTAGTCGACCAGTTTGATATCGGACCACAGACTGCTCGTGTGGCCGTGGTGGAATTTAGTACAGCTGTTTCGGCCTCGTTCCTGCTGAACCAATTCGACACAAAAGATGCAGTGAAGAAGGCGGTAGATGGTATTATATACAGCCCAGGCGGTACCAACACTGCTGCCGCCATTGATAAAACCGTTAATGAAGTCTTCGCAACAGTCAACGGTGCACGGAATGGTGCGGCCAAGGTAGTATCTCATACCAGAATATTACAATCTGATCCTTCTGACGACTTTTAATAATCTCGAAGAAAGGGAAAAAAAAGAAATCCTCTTTTTTATTGTTCTGTCTTAGTTATAATGGAACTGATTTTACATCATGATTATGTTGACATATTGGTATTTTCTTGATGTTTTATAGGAAATTTAATTCAACTCCAACAACCAAAAAGCTTACAAGTAGACTTAACTGATAGAGGACATGTTTTACAAAAAAAAAAAAAAAAAGAGAAAAAACCCCCGATTTTCCCTCCATATAATTCTTTCCCTTATCATATCACGTTCAGAAGCAATACAGCATTTGTAATATGTTTTCTCACATCACTGCCAACCCTGTCAGCGGAATGAAAGCATATACTTGGCGATATTAATTATATATATATATGAAGAAGTGTCTTAGCTTAAATCAAACATAATGCAAGGAATACATTGTCCTGCAGTATGTTTCTAATACATTGACTATCATCGCTGTAAGACATATTTCACTATAACGGTACAACTATAGTAAGAAGAGATGTCAAAAGACGAAGAGAAAATGAAGTGTTGGTTTTTAGAAAGAATTGAAAAATAACATATAATCAATGTCTGTGATAAAACAAATCAGGAAAATATAGGTTTCTCTGAATATTGTATACTGATATTCTTATACAGGTTATGATTTTGATCACTGATGGTCGATCAGAAAATACGGTAAACACACTGAATGCTGCTAACAACGCCAGGCTGAGTGGTATTACCATATTTACGCTGGGAGTCACACAGTATGTCAACAAGGTAGACGATTCTTAACATCTTTGGTAACATGTTTTAACCTCTTTGGTAACATGTTTATATGGAATAGAAAGGTTTTATTTACTTCATGTTGTAGTATTTGAAAAAAGTACATTAAGTGAAAAAAGAATAATAAGAGTAAATCTCTTTCTCCGATATATCATATGCACGTGTGAATTTCAATTTAGTGTATGTTGTATGTATATAAAAAATGATATACTCTACATGGGCATTTTGCCCCCATTTGAATTGTGCCCTTTTCGCTAAGGAACAAGAAAGGCGACTTTAAAATATATTCCATTTGTATAATTTTTTTTATATAATCCTCGGGGACGAAATAAACACGAGGCGAGACTGTGTGGTACTTTGGCGAAAATAACCTGGGGTGAAATTATCCCAGTATATAGTACTGCATCGACAATGGTTCTAATTAACTAAATAAATTATTAATTATATGGAAGAAGAAAGCATCGTCGGTAGTTTTAGTTGGAACTATTCTTTAATACATAACGCACTTGCTTACAGATCGAATTAGACGGGATTGCAAGTAGTCCAAGCTGTACTCACTCGCAGATCTTAAACAGCTACGCTGATCTAGACAGTCTAAAAACTCAGATCCAGAGTGTTTCATGCAAAGGTAAGAAAAACATTAACTCGGTGAAAATGAACTATATGACGATTACTGAAAATAGGAATATATCTTGAATATCAGATGAACAGGTTTTCTAACTAAACACCCTAAGACAGCATGATGTGAAAAATTTTTATGATGAGTGTGATATGTTTAGAATTAATATTTGTGAAATGTTATGTCTGTGGTAGAAAAGTTCGAAAAAAATTGAAATGCATTTAACATTATATGGCAAAACAGATAACAAGTAGAGTGGATTGGAATTCTATATCTTAGTGCATTGAGTTAATCGATAGGAAGAGGAATGAATGAATACGTCGGTAATTTGGGATAGTCTTCCATTCCAATACGTTTTTTTCTTTAACTCTCTATAGGAAGTAACGGTTACCATGGACTTGGCTTTAATTATATAATACGGACCAACTCGTAAAGTACGATAACCTATTTATGTTGTATCAAATCCATAGAGAAATAATGTGATATAAATGACAAAGAAACTTGTGATGATTGAAATAAAAGTTGCTGCTAATTTAACATGGAGTGTTATAATGAGTTTGACCTTAAAATAATGAAATATGTACTGGTTTGGACACTCTGTACCTGTCTAAAACGTTAGATCAAATCCTCTCGGAACTGAAATCGTTATCGCTATGACACGACTAGAACAAGGCATTACTTTACGTAACATGACAAAATGAAAAGGCCACGACATGACGGATATTGATAGTAAGATTATCATAATAAAAAACGGAAGCGCAAAAATGAAAATAATTTGTGCAAAGTGATTGACAAATGAATACATTCTTAAACCCGAAATTTCAAATTATTCCAAATAATGATTGATACTTTCACTTTAAATGTTCTAATGTTAAAGCTGCTGCTATTTTGACTCCAAACAACTACCAGTATAACTGTGGCAGTGACATCAACGTACAGATCCTACCCAACGTTACAGCAGGGACCACTGTCACGGTAGGTCACGGGTTATTGTCCTAATGGCACAAAACAATACATCAGGAATCACTGTCGCGATAGGCCACCAGTTATTGTCCTAACCACACAAAACAATACACCAGGAATCACTGTCACGGTAAATCACGGGTTATTGTGCTAATGGCACAAAACAATACACCAGGAATCACTGTCGCGATAGGCCACCGGTTATTGTACTAATGGCACAAAACAATACACCAGGAATCACTGTCGCGATAGGCCACCGGTTATTGTACTAATGGCACAAAACAATACACCAGGAATCACTGTCGCGGTAAATCACGGGTTATTGTACTAATGGCACAAAACAATACAGAAGGATTAACGTCGCGATAGGCCACCGGTTGTTGTCCTGTTGGTTCACAGTAAATAGACAGATATTGTCTTTATAGTACTAAACATAGCATGAGGAACAACTGTAACTGCAGGATACCAGTTATTGTCCGTATAGAACCAAGCATAATGACATCAACTGTAACGATAGGAAATTGATCATTGTTCATTTAGAGGCAAAAGTAACAACAGGAACAACGTTTAACGTTATGATACCTGTCATCGTCCTAATAGGACCAAACATTACAGCATGATCAACTGTTATGTCTGTAATTGTCTTTGATTATTCAGATCATTACAACACTGTCCCAGGTAAATTCTACTGATACAATTACTACGTTACAATATTTACATTCTAAATACATTGCATATCATAGCGCAATAAAATAAATGTCGAGATGAATAACGAAGACAATAGCTAAATATTAAAATGTCATGCAAATGGTGAATTTTCATAATCTTGGAAATAATTTTATCTTAGGTCACCCCTACTGATGGTACTGTGTCCGTGTTTGGATCTCTGACGTCAGCAAATCCAAGTCCCGTATTGAATGAGTTCTACAAAATTGCCGACATCAACGCTGGACAGTCGTTTTATGTCCGTGGTAACCGGTCAGTGGCTTTGGCAGTTATGTCCACTTATCCCACAAAGACTTGTGCCGGGAACTTTAACATCACTGTAGAGGAAGGAAACAACATCAGACCATGTAAGTGTATGACTGGCGGTGAGGCTATCAGTATTCAATATAAGAGTGAGGCTGAATTAAATCCTAATTTCCTTCATTGAAATGTAATTAAGAAAGGAATAAGCGGAATAACATGGACAACGATATAGTTTGCTGGATGGAATGCTAGTTACCAATGACGTATGGCAGATAATATGTGTCATCAACGAAAACCTTGAAGATTTACTTTTCAATGCACATCGTAAAAGGTGTCTCTGTTAAAAGCAGTCACCACTTCAATACATTCCTTATATATATTAATAGTATGTATATATATATATATATATATATATATATATACTATTCATATTACATCATTGAATCATTGTTAGTGATATTGTCCCTCCATAAAGCGCATAAAGTGATATTGTCGAGACCAGAGCCCAGAGTACACACTCTTGTTCTGACAGATATGTAGTTTGGATTCACAACAAGAACACAGCTTTTTATGTAATAAAGTTAGATATTAACAACTAGGTAAAAGACATCTTTGTATGTGACATAGATATCTAGAAGTTGAAGACAGCTTTTTATGTGTCATAGTTACATATCTAGAAGTTAAATACAGCTTTATATGTGTCATAGTTACATATCTAGAAGTTAGATACAGCTTTATATGTGTCATAGTTACATATCTAGAAGTTAGATACAGCTTTATATGTGTCATAGTTACATATCTAGAAGTTAGATACAGCTTTATATGTGTCATAGTCACATATCTAGAAGTTAAAGACAGTTTTATATGTGTCATAGTTACATATCTAGAAGTTAAAGACAGCTTTATATGTGTCATAGTTACATATCTAGAAGTTAAAGACAGCTTTATATGTGTCATAGTTACATATCTAGAAGTTAAAGACAGCTTTATATGTGTCATAGTTAGATACAGCTTTATATGTGTCATAGTTACATATCTATATGAAGTTACATATCTAGAAGTTAAATACAGCTTTATATGTGTCATAGTTACATATCTAGAATTTAAAGACATCTTTATATGTGTCATAGTTACATATCTAGAAGTTAAAGACAGCTTTATATGTGTCATAGTTACATATCTAGAAGTTAGATACAGCTTTATATGTGTCATAGTTACATATCTAGAAGTTAGATACAGCTTTATATGTGTCATAGTCACATATCTAGAAGTTAAAGACAGCTTTATATGTGTCATAGTTACATATCTAGAAGTTAGACACAGCTTTATATGTGTCATAGTTACATATCTAGAAGTTAGATACAGCTTTATATGTGTCATAGTTACATATCTAGAAGTTAGATACAGCTTTATATGTGTCATAGTTACATATCTAGAAGTTAAAGACAGCTTTATATGTATCATAGTACCACAAGTAAAAGAAGCGTTTTATGCGATTTAGCCAGAATCGAATAATGAGCACTACGTTGTTTGTGATAATGTTAGACATCTACTGGCGTCATATTTGACAGTTGTTATATGTGTGTGATAAAGTCAAGATGAACTAATAGACATTGTTCAAATAAAACAAAACAAACTTTAAATTTGTAGATAATAACCTGCTGTGTATAGAAGCTGGAAGGATCATTGTCAACTGCTCGGCTCAAACTCTTTTCGGTAGTCAGTACATGGTTGTGCCTACTCCATACTGTAAGTACCACCTGGTATATACCCTATACTATAATGAATTGATAGATGAAGACATACCTTTAAATAATTTTCGAAATGTACATATATCAATAACTGAAAGAAAGCAGCGTATGGTTCGAAAGAAGCGAAAAGACGTAGAGAATCTAATAATTTTAATATTTTCTTTATCAAATAATGCATTTCTATCAAAATTAACTAACCCTTTCAATTAACTTATAATGCAGACGAATATCGCGCTTGATGGTACATTTTCATCGAGGATATATAGAAATACAAAATGTATGCTCCATTTCTGAATAACGTGAACGTCTAAGTTCTCGCGTAACCGACAATATTGATGAAATGGGCGTACAATCATGTATAGACAAGACAGATACTTGAATGTCTAACAAATTGGCCTACATAATCCATGTCATGTATTTTTATTTACAGCCCCCAACCCCTGTTCAAGCAGCGGCATCCAGATCTTTCCTCATCCATTGAGAAACGACCGATTCCTTTACTGTGATGGCAATGGTAATGTGTTTGAAGTTTTATGTCCATTTATGGAAATATTTGACCTACAGGCACAGACGTGCATACCGGGTATGCCGATGACCTTCACCCTTCCCAGAACCACTATGACCCCTCTGCCATCAGTTACACCAAGACCTACGAACGCTGTAGTTCAGACTGGCAATCCGTGTACACCAGAAAATATTCTCAATGGACTCTTTTTCTTTCCCTATCCTAACGATGATCAGGCCTATATTGAATGTTATAACCTTCCATACGTAGCTGTGGTGAAGTTCTGCGAACCTCATCACTTCTGGGACCAGGCCACTCTAACCTGCCTCTACAGAGAGGTAGTTGTTGACCCAACAAAGGGCGCATTTGGATCTAACAGTAAGCCTTGTGGAACCGTTCCTGACCTTTTCTTCTATCCTCACCCCAGCGATCCCCAGAAGTATATTCACTGTGACCAGTACGGAGATGCTTTCGAGAAAATTTGCAAACCATACTTCATTTGGCGCCAAGACATCCTCAACTGCGTGCCAAGGGGCCTTTTCGTCATGAGCACTGTTCCCGTCCCAGTAGTAGGCAAAAAATAAGAATTTGATATCTTTGAGTCATAGACTATTGGCGAAAATGTTATTTACTTGTCTCTAAGAGATCTGGTTTTGTAGACACCAATCGAGATCTGGAACACAACACACTGTTGTTACGTATCTGAAGACTCAGAGGCATCTTTGTGACAAATGTATTTAACTTTTACATCTGATAACAACAACAAAGAAATATCAAAGATGTGGCATAGAAAAACGTATTTCAGTATTAGATAGATATTGAATTATTAAGTAAATTAATTGTAAGTAATAAACCTTTTTTACAACATAATGCGTGTTTCACTTATGGCTTGAACGTTGAAGATATCTATGCTTCTATATTTAAAGATATTGAACTCCATGTAACACAAGATAAGGCAAAATCGAACTGAAGTTAAGAAGATAAAAAAACATGAGCATATTTTCCATCAACTTCCTGTAATTAAAGCTCAATCGACCTTTGAACTATACTCTGAATGAAATATGATAATCGCTCAATTTTCTTTCAAATTCCCTTTGAAAATTACAGGAAAACAACAACAGTTAAAACATCTTGATTAAAATTGAAAATAAACGAAACAGATTATACACTCAATATAAATAATCTATGAATGATTGTTCGTTTTTTCCCTAATATCATTGCCATATCACAAAACTATTTAGATAGTTCGTACTATACTTTCAATTATATTTCGTAATCCTGCTACGTATAAGAAAAACTGTAGTAAAAGTCATAACTGTTTGGTATTAATTAACGAAACCTATAAAGTAAACTATTCTTTTTATTTTCATCTGATTTCCTTCGAAGGTTGTAAATTATGTGCTTATCGAAGTCGTGCTTATTTCATAGCATATGAGTTATAAAACTTTAAAACTTAACGGGAAATGTATGATAGTCTTCCCCACAAAATCGTTATATCATTTACGTGAGTCTGTGCGAAACGTAAGACGGCCTTTGTTTTATCACAATGTGCAACTCTCATTGCATAAACGAAATAAGTCTGCCAAACATGCAACTATGAAAGTGCACAGCTTTTCCTGCGCTGATCCCTGGTACTTTTCTAGATGAATTCACCAGTATTTGTTTATTTAAGAATAAGACTAAATGATACATAAAAAGTAAACATTTCACGCTGATCTGTTTTAAGTCTGTACATAATCAGTGTCACTATTACGTGACTAACAGTAAGTACAATACCTTATTATAGGCGGGCTAGTCTATCAAGATAAAGCCTTACATAGTATTAAAACTACACACGTCATCACGCGCAAAACGTATTACCTTGGAACGAACAGGTTACTATCAGTATAATCGTCCTTCGAAAGGTCATTTCTGTAGTAGAAAAAGTCTGCCATTTTGCAAGATGTTTGATAGTGAGGAATATTAGTTCCCGAAAGTAGTTACACATATATGTAAAATAATTATAGAAATTTCACAAAGTATAACCGTTAGTTTAAAATCGAAGGTCTGTAAACCTTCTGTGAAAGAATATGTTTTACTGATCGACAATTACTAGTAATCCATGGAAGTTAGCATCATGTTCTCATTTATTCATCGAGAATGGTTTCTCTGCTTACAAATACAGCCAATGGCTTCACATGTAGAATCCGTTATCTTATCTTTAATGCTAAATGTAGATTTACAAATACACATCGGAAATTGCTTTTATCATTATATTTTCTTATCATAAAATGATACCGCCAGATTATCATGAAAAAAATTCACAACACAAAATAACTAACATATTGACAAAACCGTAGCAATAAACTAAAATTCCTAACAAGAGAGTAAGGCATGAACAAAGGTATTGTGACTATACGGAGATCACATACAGAGAAAAAGAAAGAAAACTCACGTGTTAAGGGAGGATACGTTTCTCCTTACTTCTTCGACGACATCAGCAATGATACTTTGTTTAGTAGCCTTGTCACATTATAAAATTGAGTTAAGAATCGGAACAACAACAACAAATTTACAAGTTGATAGATCGTCGAATAAGTCGAACGTCATATTAAAATTGTTCGAAGATTATACAAAAGATGCAGAGATTGATAGCTCCTTTCAATACAAATATCAAATTGGATACACTACAGCCAAATAATTAAACAGCTGTGTGCATTTGTTTTGCCCTTCTAAGACTCTTTAAGGATGGGATTGGCCTACAACACTGAGACCTAAGGTTGGGGTGGGGACCGAGGGAAATATAAAGTAGTGTAAAGTATATTTCACACGATAATGTGTATTAAAAACATGAAATTCATAATATATCTAATGTTCCTGTAAAGCAAATGACTATCTTATACATTATAAGGAGATTTACTACATAAGATACATAATGAATATGTTCTATAATATATTGCATAAAAGGGATTTGATATACAATTTTATGAAATAAACGTTCAATGTTTCTCTTTGAATAAATTGAAAATTGGCTTGGCTAGAATTAAAAAAAAACTGTTTCATTACTTTCAGCTGTCTATGATACATGTAGTGATATAAGATGGTTAAAACTTAAAACTTATAGCAGAAAAAGGTATATATAAATAATCTATTTAATTTTTTTTTTCAAAAATGACATAACATGCATGACTCATATAAGTACAGTTCATCTGTAGCGTGATTTACTGATATATTGAAATAAAGCTCATAAACAAATACGATCACTATAATGCATGCACGCGACTCAGTCATACATAAGATAAACCGACTCGTGCCAAACCTATTGTTTCCTTTGTCGCCTATGCAGTGAATATGGCAATCCACAGACGCACTTTACCAGGAAGTTTTTGATAAGAAATAACATACGTTTACTTCACATTGTTTCTTAATTCATTTGCCGCGATGAATGTTATAGGAGTATGTGTGTCAGTAGTTTGTGTTGGGGTGATAATTGGTACCTTCGGGTTAGACCAAACGACACAGCCCGGGGGTAACGGCGCCCATGTGGTGGAGGCTGTTGTCTCCAGGATCCGGGAGTCTTGCCTGTATGCGGACGACAAAGGCTTCCTAAGACGACTTGCATACGTCCAATCATATGACGGAACGGACCCAAAGACGTACCGTCCTGGTTTTGATGGTGGCATATGGCAGGTTGGCAAGAAAACAAGATATAATACAATTTATCATTTTTCTTTTCCGAAATTAAACGAAATAACAGCTGTTTTGACAATCTTCAAAATTGTAAATCTCAAAGATTATCATGAAAACCCTACTAGATTACAGCCTTCAAATAGAATATCGAAAGTATTGTATCTTTTTTTAAAGGAATACCTTCATTTATTTCCTAGACAGACGAGACTTGAACTTAGTGTTCCTGATTTTTGTTTTAGTTAAGCCTTGCTAAATTCCTGGAAACGAAATACAGTAATCAGCTGCTCAAGGAGTATGACCTGCTTGCCGAGAAGTTCAACATAGACTGGGGTGCGGTAAACTGGGTGGATCTGAGGAAGCCACTGTACTCTGGAATAGCTGCCGCTCTCTATACAAAGATACACGGAGGAGTGGGCTGGCGGGTCGAGGACCAGGCTCAGTTTTTTTCCAACTATTTTCTGAGTATGGGTGGAAACAACTTCACTAATCTAGCCGAACTCCTAGCCGAAGGTAAACCGAGCACATGTCCACCATAGAGATAATTATGTTTGTTCTGTTAGAAAAATAATGTTTGTTTGGGATTGCTGTTAGGGATAGCGGGTACGTTTGTGTGTTCCCCATAAAGTTAAATATTGAGACCAGTCGCTTTACAGACTCTGTAATGAAACACGTCATATAATGTTCCGAACCGATGTTGCGCTTAATCAAATGTCATTTGTAATTGAAAATATTCTGTTTATCACATAGAATACTTGGTATTATTTTTTTCTGCCGTAGGATGTTCAAACACAAAGAAGATCGACCTGGTATTTGTCATGGATCAGTCAAACAGTTTATCACTAGACGACAACATAAGATCAAAAATGTTCATTCAGGACATCGTCAATGACTTTCCGGTGTCTCCAGACAAAACCAGGGTCGCTATGGTGACGTACTCAACACATGCTGTAACGCGGTTTTATCTGAACACATACGGCAGCAAAAGTGACGTGTCCACAGCTATAGACAATATACCCTTCGATAGCGGTACTACTGCCACAGACGAAGCACTCAACAAAGCACTGACGGACGTCTTCCAGGTAGGTAGTTTGTTTATAAATACATTTTCCCATTGTTTCTATATTTCACATTAATAATGTTTGTCCTTACCGTATTTTCACTTGCAATGTAAACCAACATGCATATGCGAAATACATTGGTAATCTCTTACTGCAATAACTAGAACATTTCGCGAGATTAATGCTCACAATAATGTCTGTGCCTGAATCTTCAGAGCAGTACACGATATATGTTGATTCATAATACTTAATACCGCCTCTACCTCAGCAAATGGTATTGTTGGTAAAGTACAGTTTCTGTACTATCCCGTTATTATGTTATGCATGTGTATACGCACGCACTTGAAAGCTTTGTTCTTGAATTTTTGTAATTTGTGTTATACATATGTAACTTTAAGTATCTTTAGAAAAACGTACAATCAGAGCCTATGCAATATAAACTGAAATGATATTCAATAAATCTGCCTAACCTTGGTTATTCAGCAATAGTCACTGCCATGGTTTTGGCCGTTCACTCTTGACCGTCGGTTGGTTAGAGAGGTTAGAAGACTTGAACAAGTACCAAAGTCAACCGTTAACAAAAGCCTTATATGGGTAAACATGTGCTTTTCAGAATTCCCATGGAAGCCGGGCGGATGCGGTGAAGGTCCTTATCGTGATTACAGACGGTGTATCCAATGACCGGCTGAACACTATGCATTCTGCTGAGGCAATACACGCCAATAATATTGTCACTTTCACAATTGGGGTAGGCAGCCATATCAATCACGCCGAGCTCAACACCATAGCCACGAGTCCATCCTGTACACACGTGATGACGGTGTCAGGTTTCACCGACCTGACGGCGCTGAAACAAGAGATCCAAGAGAAGACCTGTAAAGGTAAGGCCTATCTAGATTGTGCCGATTAGTATTTGTTGGTTGAATGGCCAGTTCTGTATATGTCAGAAAATAGACAGTAACTACAATCGTTAACTTTAATTTATGTATCTCACACAAAAATAATAGAATAGTTTTTTTACCAAAAGCATTTTCTCATTGAAATACCTTGAAATGAATGTGTCCATGGCTGACATGTATGCTGAATGGTAGCATTGTCTTACACCAGATTTCATTTGCTAACCTTTTGGACTATGCCTTACTTGACTATACGGGGGAATATAAAAAGTTGAAAAAAATTCCGGATTCTCTGGTTTTATTCTCATTTCCCTGTTTTATATAACGCTCTTGATTGGAGTTTGATTTGGTGTACATGTCAGTATTTCTTTTTAATGTAATACTGTTATTATCATTTTGGTTATATTTAACAGCTCCCTTATATATTAAAATGAACCACACCTACACATGTGTGATGGAGGAGTGTCCTTCACTTGCTGTCATTACGCCACCAGGAGGTGTTACAGTGGAGGTAAAGTCGCATTAATTTAAATTTCAATCACATAATACAATTTTTTTCTATTGAAATGAAAAAAGAAGACAAGATTGCTGTTGGTTGACTTCTTGCTGTTTATGTTATGTTAATACATACTGAACAACACCGGTACATATTTTCTGTTCTGTGTATGCAGACTAACGTGACCTGCGGTAAAATAACATTATTCACGGCCTTCGGAACTCCATTCCCCGGAAATTCTTACTACGAAACGATCTCTCAAACCGAGGCTGCCGAACTAGGAATCAAGTTCCGAAATACCACCACTACCCAGACACTCTTCATGAGTCTAGAGGATGCACTCAAACTGACCAATGGGACCAGAGGTTGTAGCATCAATGTGACGCCGTACACTGGAGACCATCGTGACCATGGTAACGCCGCAAAATAGTATTTAATCGTTTATCATATAGTTATATTTGTGTGTATAAACGAACGGACGGGAAATTTCATTGTTTTATACACTAACCATATACGAATAATTTACGTATCTTATTTTGTCTGACAAGTACGTTACAAAATAATCTAGATATTTTCTGTTCAAGAGGGAGTGTTTTTGACACCAGGGATAAAAAGATGATTTCTTTTACAGAGATAAAGTGCTACCAGAATGGTGTACAAATCAAGTGTCCAGATGACTGCAAAGGTAATTAACACGGATGTAATAGAAAATATAAACTATGTCTGTGTCTTCAACAATGCTCAGTCATTATCACTTGTTTATAAGTACTTTATTTACTACAATATTGCGACACACGTTGATAGAATGAAGTACCATAGAATATGAATGAAAACAACCTTTTTCAGATGATATTGTCAGTTTGTGTAACTGATAAGGTTAAGTTGAATTCTAAATGAGATATGCTACAATATATTCTAGTTAAATTCATGAATCTGAAAGTATCATTTTATTTCTATACAACAGAACATTGGGGATATGGCAACATCTGCACGAAGGAAACCCTACTTGCCGGAATAACTAAATTTCCACACCCTAATGAGCCTACCAAGTACCTTGAGTGCGACAACCAGGGCAAACTGTATGTTGTACAGTGTCCACAAAATGAATCCTATTACGACGCGTGTAAGCAATGTGTTGGAGGTGACACGCCTTGTGTTACTCATGGAAAGCCGCTGTCCACAACACTCGCAAATCCTTGTTCAGTGGAAGCAATCTTAGCGAATAAGTTTTTCTTCACTTATCCGTCTGATGTGACCAAGTACATCCATTGCGACGTGTGGGGCAAAGCGTGGGTCCGACCGTGTCCTCAGGGAGAAGAATGGGACCAACATGAGTTGACCTGTATCGTCCCCTCAAACTTTGCTAATCCTTGTCGTATGAGAGCCCCGGACGATCCGTTACTGTACACGTACCCATGTGACCCAACTATGTACATTCAGTGTGACCTCTGGCATGAATCGTTCCAACGTCAGTGTAACCCGCCAAATTTCTACTTTCAACAATCATCACAGTCATGCGTAAATCCAAACACGTTTGTACCTCCTACAGCTGCTCCTGGAGCATGTGACGGGGCGCCAGCTGCAGTCACTAACCCTTCCGCCCAGGGGCCAGGGTCACCAACTGCCGGATTTCCTATTGGTTACACACCATCAGTGACTGGAGCATATCCTTTCTGTGGAAACTGTCCCGTGTTCACAGCGCCCTGTGACGAGAACCATATTCGCGAAATGAAGCTGTACTTCCCTGTTCTTGGTGACCGTCATCACTACATCCAATGCGACCTGACCGGACACATGTACCTGCAGTCGTGTACCAACAGTGGACTGGACTTTTTTGATCCCATCACCTCCACGTGTGTCGATGGTAGTCTGGCTATCGACAATCAGATCGGCGGCTGAAAAATCAACTTCGTGTTTTTTTGATATCTTGATATTTTGCTTTCCATTACAAATAGTGTATGCTTGGTGACCACTGTTCCTCGTTTTATTTTAGATCTTACATTTATATGATATAAACATGGCGAGAATTTTTTTTCAGTAGGTCGCTCAACGACGGTCTTAGTCGTGAAATAAAAAAAGGCATAATTTGCAAAAATATAAGTTTTACTATAACAACTCGTATCAATAGCAACATTGTATAACATAAAGCCACGATAAGTACAACGAATGACTTAGCTACACATGCACGTTCTGGTACCTATACAAGGCCTGACACGTTCAGGTAAAACTTGGGCACTCTCTCTTTGGAAGTTGTATGGCCACCATGTTCACTTTCAACTGCTTTAAGCTGAGGTGACAAAATGTGATAAATTTCTAGAACATGTCTGTTGGTTTGGGCAACAATATGACTCATGATGACATGTAAGGTAGCCGTAGTAAGAACGCATTGTTGATCGTGAATGGATGTATGTACAGTAATATAGGTAGAACTTTGGTAGTAGTCACAAGAACATAGTAGAACATTGCAATACCATGTACAGCTATAAGTGGACGTTGGCAGGTCACGGAAGGTCATCGGTGTACATCATTAAGGGCACTCTAATATTGTCTGTATCCAAGTGTACTTCCCACGGCTTAGTGACATTGATAGGGTCATAATAACGTGGATAGACAGAGCACGATTACAATAGAACATAGGATGTTGTACTATTGTTCCTTCTGCTCTACCGTGAAATTGTTTCCGTTCACACAAGACTATCCACGTCTTAGCTGGTTGTTGGGAGAGACTCAGAACATGGTTTGGAACAGTTTCCAGCTGATGAGAGAGTACATCGTATTAAAACTATGCGTTCTTTAAATTGATTTTGAATTCGACAAAAGTACAAGCCCCTATCAACTATAGCCAGTGATTATTTCAAATGGTACAACATGTAATTTACAATTGATTTTTGCAACTTTTAATTAAAGTCAATCAAGTAAATCAATCGCAAAATTTTACATGCATATAATAAAATCTAGGGAGTGATATCTACCGGTACATATAGGTCACATACTAAAAGAGGAATTGTTTGATTAAAAATAAGAAAATTCATTATAATTATTTTTTCTTTCCCCCCCCCTCCCATACAAAATGCTGCAATCTGATTGGTCTAAAAAAATTCATATCTCTATGAAAAAAAAATAATAAGCCACGCCCCCTCTTCGCCGGAACTATTTTCCCCGGCAACATCAAAGGCTCACTGAAACCTTTGATCTTCACCTTCGACTTCCGGTTTGTGTCAAACTAACTGTACTTTAAAATTAATTATAAGCGTTGATGTCATTTTTTAAAGTTTCATAAGGGTATGAAAAAAAATTGTTTGCAAACTTTTGAATGAATCCGCGTAGTACAGTTAATAATAATAATAATAAATGACTTTATTTAAGAGTCGATAACACTTTGAGTACAAGACTCTTCTAACAAGTGGTCGACAGTAAAATGTACAATATATACAACATTAAGATTACAGCATCACATATGATATAAAAATCACAAATATCACAGTAAACTAGCATAATCATGAAGGACTAAGATGTACATCAATAAAACAAATGTAATGATAAAGGCACATAGTGAAGAGATATATAAAACGGTTATAGAGTGACTAATGATATAATAAAGGGACTAAATTAGGGAGGTTTTGTAAGGAATAAAGGACTGATAATTAAAACAATTAATTGGCAATATTCATAAAGGTACCATATTATCTTAGGGCTAAAAATAAGACTGGCATAAAAATGTGGATCTAGGTTAGTAAATTGGAGATTGATTTTTTACAATGAAATTCAAAAGTTGGTAAGGTTCCACATTGTCTGATATTTTCTGGAAGCTGATTCCACATAGTTGGTCCAGTATATAGGAAGGAATTTATAAACTTTTCAGTTTTGTGTTTAGGTATGATATAGTTACCAGCAGTAGATGCCCTAGTTTGTCTACTGTGTACACTGGACACAAGCACATTACAGTCCAAGTAGTTTGGACACAGTTTGTTAGCTACATTAGTATACATTCATTGTAGTTCACTCTTTTGCTAAAAGGTAACCATTTGAGTTTGGTGAATAGTTCATCCCCTGATACAGAGTAGTCAGCATCCATAATTATACGTAAAACTCTTTTCTGCAATCTCTCTGTTTTTTTTAATATATGTCTGAGAACAATGTCCCCAAATATTTGAACAATTATCTAGGTAAGGTAGAATGAAACAGTTAAAATAGGTGATTCTTGATGAAACAGGTAAGAACTTTTTAATTCTGCATAACTGATATATTTTGAAATTGACCTTTTTGATGACATCCTGGACTTGTTTGTTCCAAGTAAGGGTATCATCAATACACACACACAGTTTGCTAACAATTTTTTTCCTACCCCTATTTAACTAAATAAAATGACATCAATGTTCAAGCAGAACATCGTTGCGATCACATATACGCTCAATGTGATGTAATTTATGTAATATTTGTGTCTTGATAAAGGGCAGATTGCCTCGATTTGACATTTCACTTGTCCGTACTGTCGTTATAACTTCATTGACTACTATATATCAAACTACATTTTTATTATTAAATCGGGTTGAAAATCTATTCATTTGTTTTTAAGCTTATGGACGGGTAGGAAATTATTTGATTTTTTTTTTTTTTTTTTTTTTTACATTTAGTCCGTGAAATATAGGAATTGATCAATTCCATGATCATCACTGCAGATGGCTACATGGGTCTCGGCCGAGGTGTTCCGACTTGTCAAACGTAACGTCAAACTATCTGACGTCAAAGAGCTTTTTTTGACTACCGTTTTTTTGTTTTTTTTTTTTCGTTTTCTTTTTTTCATTTGTTTATTCTTTAAAGCATAAAATTCAAAAAGAAGAATATCTAATGGTTTCCGCAAACAAATTTTACACCTGGATCTCTTCCTTTCCCTATTTGACCCTAACAAAGGAAAACGAATTTAACAGATTTTCCTGTACCTTGCCTTATTGGCTTCGCCCCATCCCGCAGACCCCAGGGCGCCGAGATCCATCAATTACACAAAATCGGTTCTCATTTATCGTAGGATGCTTTAGACCAAAATTTCACAACATCCCTTCATCACAACTGAAGACAGATTTTAAAACTATTCCTCTATACTTTCCACATTGGGCTTCGTGCTCCTCCTCCTCTGTGGCGTCAGACTTGCAATTTATGTGATTGAACCCCCTTTACCTAAGAATTTAATCAATTAAATTTAATTCCTTCGGAAGAAAGGAGATTATAAAGAATTTGCTTAGTTTTTGACCAATTAAACTTAGCAATTTTGACCCCTGGGGGACAAGTCCCACAATGTACAAAATTAGTCTCCCTCTCCCAAGGACACTTTTTGTCATATTTGGTCAAATCGGATGGAAACAAATGGTCGAATTAGATCCAGTAAATGTTTAGATAATAGAATCTGTGTATATCTATTCCTTATAGAAATCAGTAAAAATACCTCGGAATTCTACAAGTTTACACTCAATATTAGACAAAGCAGAATAGTTTTATAGTCGGTACCCTTGCCTTTTTATTGTGAACTTCGAATTTCTGGATGTAGTACCGTATTTGTTCATAACGATAAAATATTCACAAGATTTCTACATTCAGTATGACAAGTTCAGAGACAGCACATTCCAGGTAGGATTAAATCTATAATTTTATTTGGGGTTATTTTGAACCAGTTGCAGGTCTAGACATCAATAATCTTTTATTTGTTGCATATGAAATATGGTAGAATTTATTGTGTCATTTAATTTATTCTATTTGGTCATTTATTTTTGTGTGCTTACCACGGATTTAGATCCGTCGGTAACCCGTGGAGAAAAAAGCAGTGGAGTATGAGGTGTTGCACCCTCCATACTCCAGATGTTACGCTTACTATCGTTCTCTGCACGCCTAGAACATTTCATGAGAAAAAATACAGGTTCTGTGTGCGACGCCTTGTAGATAACACAAGAAGACTAGTTTGACTCTTTGATGTATATCAAACTTATCTCGAGGTCGCATTTGTATGTTGTTTTAGTACTGGCTGTGAAATTAGGTGTCTTTTGTAATCTTGAATGTAGCGTATCAGTCTGTGAAATGCTTTCCTTGGAAACACATTGGACCAATCAAATTACTTGAGTCTTCAATTTTGTTAGGAAACTGTTCCAGTGATGCGAGAGCGAAATTGATCGTAACAAATGGAGTATGGAGTATGGACTTCCTGAAGCAAGATTTAAGTTTAGGATGAATCTGACACGAAAATTTTATTATTGGTTGTAGGCTACTTTATTTGACGCAACACTACGAACATTTACAGGTTAGCTTTTTGTCTGAAATCTCTCCTGCTCTTCAATAACCGGGTAACTTTTGCGAATTTAAGAGCGCCAGGAACTAGTGTGAAATTTAGGATATAAATAATTATTTAAATATGACTGATTTCTATATTTCATTTTTACACAACATCTTATTGAGAAAAGATAACTTAGAAAAAAATATTAAATTTCTATTCGTGCTGAGTCTCGATCACACTGTGTTTACTGACTTCACATAAACAGAGTTACGTCCCTTCTTGTAATGGCCACCTCCACGATAACAAGCATCGGACGGGAGTTTTAGCTGTCAACATCATTAGCGATAAGTCTTACGGAAAACCGAGGTAATCAACTCATTAATGTTGAAGAAATACTAAAGCTGTGAAATAATTGTGCTGTCACTGCTTTGAGAATTATATCACCTAAAGGAGATGTAAGAACGAAGGAACCATGATCTTGTCGTGCAAAGACTTAACCATTTACAAGGTTACTGTACTCCCTTAATTACCGACAGAATAGTTTACAGACATTTACTTGTAATTTCAAGCCAAGCAAAGGAACAATGTTCAATGGAATGAAAATGGTATAACACATACCGATTCGTTTAGTTCAAAACACAAAAAGTAGACGGAGTGTGGCTTAAAAATTTTATCTGCACGTAATGGTCTTTTCTTTACCAACAAAGATTGAACATCTTCTTGTATGTATAAAATGTGACAGTTTCTGCTCACCTTTTGCTTTTGGAACATAAAAAATTGTGTTCAATGGATTTAATATAGTGTTGCTGCATTTCGGTTTGCATTTTAAAGTCAGTTTTCAAACACAGGAGGGACATTATTGTAAAGGGTTCTGACTATCTATTCGCGATTTTATTTTGGCTTGGTCGCGGACCGATAGTCAGAATTCCTTCGTATATGAAAACGCCAAATACTAGCGACCTGTGCAAGGGTCAGTATGCAGGCAATGGTTTATACAGTTTACCTTGCAGATCTAGTTTTTTTTTTTTTTTTTTAAAAAAAAGAAAGATTGACTTTTAAAGACATTTCAGTGTTGACTAACTAGTGAAAGACATTTAAGTGTTGGATTTGGAATGTTTTGCTTTATTTTTATTGAAGATAATGTCAGCCAGAATTTTCAAGAAAGTCACCAACAATGTGCTGAGAAAGGACAGGATATATCACTCACAGTTCTGGTCATGTGTATCACGTTATATGTGTACCAACGGAGAAGATGTCTTCAACAGTAAAACAAATAAAGTTACCTCAAAAGACAGCAACGTTAGGAAAAGTCAGTCTCCCAAATATTCACATGAGTCTGAGCTTCATCCCGAACATGGAACAGGTGCAGGAAATGCTTTAAAAGGTATAATCATTGGTAAAGGTAATGAGAGTGATTCCACATTTGTTCCAAAGCAATCAGACATTGCTATTATTGGTGGGGGACTGGTCGGCTCAGCAGCAGCATTCTGGATCAGGAAACAAAGCCGCAAAGGTCTCAGCGTGACAGTCATAGAACGGGATTCTAGTGTAAGTTACCATTATTAAATATACAAATCTGTTAATTAATGACATGACTGAGCAATATCTTTAAAGGAGACCATCTCATAGGTGTGTGGATTGGAAATTATAAAGAACATAGCCAGTATGAATATATAATTTATTGCTAGATTAAAAGGCTAAAACTGTTCTTACAGAAAAAGGCATTTTGTTTGGTTTGTTCATCAAAATTATGGTCTTCCAAATTAATTTGATGACATACTCATACTTACAGACATGTGTATCAAGATTATGAAATAAACATTAAGGAGATATTTAGTCATGCTTTATCATGTCAAAACTAGACGCTGCTATGATGATTTGAAGATTAGCAACAACCAGAGTATCTTGTAATAAGCAGACCAATTTAACTGTATTACAGTATTTATGCTATTGTATTGCAGTTAGACCTGAAATACCTTCTGCTGATAAACTATATTTTCTATTGATGTAATATGCCTGTCCACTTGTTTTGAGCCTGGAATCTGTTGGCCCTCTACTGGGCCTTTGCTATTTAAATAGAACATTTGTATTAATTTTGTACTTCTGGTTGACTTTGATATGCTGATATTCCACTACAATTCAGTTGCATCATTTGCAGTATGCTCAAGCCTCAAGCATGCTGTCGGTTGGTGGTGTGAGACACCAGTTCAGCATTCCTGAGAATGTCCTAATGTCGATGTTTACTACTGATTTCATCAGGAACATAAGCCAGCATCTAGGCATTCTAGGTAAGTCAACACTTCACAAAAATGGATTTAGTATTGTCTTATAGGGTAGGTACAAAAAACTGGTTAAATAATTGAAATGAGATGAAGGTAGAGACGAGTGGACAACATCCATTAGAAGATATCAGCAAGCTTCAAAAGCTGACATGTTTCAGCAACAAATATGCCATCTTTAGAACCAGTTCTTTTTTAACTGGACTTTGTATTCTTGAGGAACCCATGTGTGGAGGACTACTACAAAATTGGAAATGATTTAACCAGATGTTGGATCAGTTTTTGGTGTAAATAATTGAAATGGGAAATATACACAAGAATTCGTAAAATATGTGCTATACATGTATATACAAAAATGATGAAACATATAAAATGTACCCAAGAATTGACCTGAGAAATGAACACATGAATTGATGAAATACATAATTTGAGTAGTACAAGAATTGGTGAAAAAATTTCAAGGTATGTGGATAGAATTGTAGATGTTTCATTTTAGATATATCATAGAAATTGATCAATAGATTTGAAGTCTGAATTGATGTGACACACATTCAACAACATATTTCCTAGATTTTCAAGATTAGTTGGTAAGAATTGGGAAACTTTTTATCTTAATTCTAAATAAACATTCAAATTTTTGGTAAAATGTTTGGATCAGTAAGGTTTGACAAGCAATTCTATGTTCTATGTGATTTTTTACACTGTAGTTCATGATGACATATGAAAGTCAAAGGTAAAAACCCAGCTGTACATTTGTAATACATGTTAACCTTATTTGTTTTATCTACTAAGAAGTGAATGCAATATAATAGTGATTCTGATAGTAATATTACTGCAGAGCTTGTGAGCTTATATATGGGTGATGAAAAGGCAGTTTGTACCTGGTGGTAGGTCCTTCAAACTTGCCAAAATTTCTCATAAAATGCATTACTATTTGTACTTTCTTATCAAAAACTCATCCTTATGATGATATATGGCTTTGGCTCAAAAATAGAGAGAAAAAAGATTGTAGCATTTGATAAAAGGCCATTATGTTCCTTGTAGATACAAAGATTATAATAATTAACTTTGAAGTACTATGATTTTCACTTGAATTTAAGGCAAGAATTGGTTAAATTTTATAAAATGTTACACTTCAAGTAATTGAATTGGTCATCAGAAACAATGAAAATGGTAAATGATTAAGTTTTATTAATTTTTGTTCTACAATACACACTAAATGTACCTGGCTAGTAATACAGATAGGTCTTCACTTCAAACTTGTTAATACCCTATGATTGATGAGTTGTAAATTCTTCTATTTATAGGTCAGGAATCTCCTGATGTTCAATTCCATCACCAAGGATACCTCTTCCTGGCCTCAGAACAGAGTGCTGAGACCCTTAGTAAGGGTGTCGCAATGCAGAGGTTAGCAATCATATAGCATTTTATCATATGTTTACTCCGTTTTTGTATGTGCGATAAATCTCAAATTTCCTCAATCAGCCCTTGAGTACTGATATCAGCCCATGGGCATTAGGCCCTCTTGCTGATATCACGACTCTCTGGCTGGGGGAGTGTGATATCAAAATGGTCAATTAATAGTCTCTAAATATCATGTTACATATGTTTGTTTGATATCTATATTTTGCACATTGTAGCTTTCCTTTAACTTTAATGTGACTTCTCTCTTTGAGAGGCCATGTGACTTATATTTTGTGAAATTCAACTTTTACATTAAGACAAGCATTTGGGGGGAATAACTCTGGAGTTTTTATACTTATACATAATAATAGTGTAATTTCATATTAAATTAGGCATGGTTATCTTGCACATGCTGTAAGCAGTGTACTTAAGGCTGGTTACAGATGGGTCCTATATTTAGGTTATTTTCTATCCAAACACCCAGCTGACATTAACTGTCTATGTTTCAACTAATTTTTCAAAACTGAAAGATAGCTGATTGTTATACATTATATTACAGAGAACTTGGGGCCAATATAGAACTGCTCACTAAAAGTCGCCTTGCTCAAAAATACCCTTGGCTGAACTTGGATGGCATTGAATGTGCATCACAGGGTAAGATGCTGATTAATGATAGTTATATTTTCCAGTTTTATTTTACAACATACCACTTCATTACATAAGTAATCAATTTGTCAGGTATTGAAATATTTGTACTATTCTAGCCAGGAAGTCTATAGATTAATAGAATCTGTTACCTGTACATCATTTTTATCAATTTATCTTGGATGACTGCTAACATTCTGTAACAAAATCTCATTCAAAGTAAAGTCAAGAATGAGATGTTACATAATGTTATCCTGAGACTGAGATAAATAGATCTGGAACATATATGGGAAAGCAGAATCTTTTTGTCATAATTTCATAAATCTGACTAGTTTAATTTCCAAAGTCTTTCTTTTGATTAAATTACCTCCCTTTTCAGTTATATATCAAAGGAGGACAATTGAATATAACATCGCTTTAACTATGATGTCATAAGGTGCTAAATATCATGTAAAGGTATCAAACAGATTGGATAAGACAGAAAATTCTGGTACAAAGTAGCATGTGAGATTTCCTTTGGGGTGAGAAGCTCCTTCTATATGAGTGACTGTTCATGGACAAAATCTTATACTAACATCAGGTAACTTCTGTTTTATCCAAAGTTTTGTAAGTTTAAGCTTTTAAACTAACCTGGTTGGAAGAGTCATTCTGCATAAACATATTAAGGATTAAAGGACCCCAATGGAAATAAGCGTTTTAACACTTTTTTGGGAAATCCTAGTATATATGTACTTTTGTCTTTATTAATAATTATAACTATCTGATACATTAAAGATATAGCTAACAACTTATTCCTGATTATGTATAACATGTTATATGTGCCATATGTTCATATGTTTTGTATACAAATCTGTACTTATTTATCCTGAATAAATTTATTATTATTATTGGCTACATACTGACACTGGGTAAATAATGTTATTTAACTGGTTTTCTGTTCAAGGTATTCAAGGTGAGGGTTGGTTTGATCCTTGGTTACTTCTCTCTGCATTGAAAAAGAAGAACATTAGTTTAGGTGTGAACTATGTGAATGCTGAAGTGGAAGGTTTTTTCCTGAGTGATAGGCAAAATGACATTGATATGGGAAGACTGTCAGGCCTTCAGGTAAATTTGCTCTCACATTATGTACAAAACTGATACTGCAAAGGAGTTTATCAAAAGCATTTTTTTTTTTTTTTGAAAGGTTTTCAAAACAACATATCTTTAAAAGTTATGTATCTGAATCAATATTTGTGAAATGATGAATCACTCAAAAATTAGGTTTGCAATCAATGTTATCCCTGTTTGATTGCTATTAAATGGAGAACAGGGAATTTATCTATTATCTGCCATGTCAATGAGTGATTTGTAGATCATCATATTGGCTGAAAATGTTATTGAGAAGTTAGCAACGAAAACATTTTGTAAATAATTAGGTAGATACTGATGCTTTCCTCCACTAACATGTGACAGTGTGATATTCAATATCACTGACAAAAGTAAATGTTGAAGTTAAAGTATTTCAGCTCACCTGAGCCTAAAGGCACATACGAGCTATTGTTATAGGGTTCCATATGTCATGTGACGTCCATAAGTTTTTCTCTGCCAATTTGTGAAAATTTCCTTTGTGTGATCAGAACCTGTTATTTTGAACTATTTATATATGTGACTAAATAAGATACTATTTGAATGATTTTGGTAAAGCTATGTGTCAATAATCAATATAGGGCACTGGACAAATGTTTCTGATTTCATGCTCGTCAGAAATGAAAGATGACTGCCACAACCATCATCAGATCAGTCATGAAAAATAATTCTGATTTCTCTTTGTTGGCATGATATCAGCATCACAAATGTCAAGACAAAAAAATAAATCAAAATGTAGTCACTGTAGTGTTTGCTTGCATCATGACTTCATTATCTAAAACTTGTTTTATTGTATTACTGGTGGTGAGTTTCAGTAGAAATATTAGCAAATCGTTGTCATTGATTATGCTCAGCTCCCTTACTTTAAGCCAAAAGTTAAGTGTTGGTCCCTGGGTTAATTGCAGGATAAACTAATTTTATAGATTTAAACAATTGTTCTGACTAAATAGTCATACTGTATAAAAATTATTGATTTTCTGCCCGTCATCAGCCCACCATTTGATGATGATTGGCTATTAAAATTACCCTGCATCTGTCATCTGTTTGTAAACAATTCTTGTTATTGCTACTAGTTAAGAAGCACCAGATAGATCTGTCTCAGATTTTTATTGAAGCTTTCCCTTGCTTTGTGCTGGCTCCTTTTTGGTTTTTTGGGACAGATCGAAAAAGCAGAATAACTGACAGATGGCTATCTTGGATTTTGACAATGAAAGTCTGTTATTGACATTTCTTGAGAAATACATTCCTTTCTGTTAGTTCCCCTTAAGACATGTGATTTTTTTACTGATCAGAACAACTAAATGACTGACAGACAAAACTGTAATTTCTTTTACTTTACAGACCTCTTGTAGTTCAGTGAAATTAAATAATTGAAGGGAAATATGGCCATACACTGCTGGACTTTAGGCAGACACCTTAAATTTTACCATGTTGGTACCTGGTAATTCTACCTCAAAAAGTAAGGCACTTAGATTTGTACAGAATTACTTTAAATCCAGTATTCAGAACTAGCCGTATTTTCCAGATAAAACGGTCAGATGGAACATCAGATAGCATGGAATTTGCAATGTGTATCAATTGTGCTGGTGCCTGGGCTGGAGAAGTTGCCAAACTGGCAGGCATAGGAACAGGGACTGGACCTTTATCCGTTGGCCTACCTGTGGAGCCACGGTCAGTTGCCACAAAGGGTGTTAATGAGATACTTCAGTGTGTAGAAACTCTACATATGTCTTGTTGATTAATGTCTTGTATATATCTTGAGGAGAGATTGGCAACATTAAATTTAATCTCTAGTGACAAAATAGCTCACTATACACTTTTTAAGTTATACTTTTGACCACATAAGTCTTTCACTAGAAAAGTTTTTGAGGGGTGCTAAATCAGTAGAAAATATGTAATGATTCATGTATGTAGATGTCTCTTGTGTACTAATCTTGTATCCTGTGGAGAGAAGGTACTACATAACCATATCAAACTAAATGTCTAGTAATGAATCAAAGTCCTTAAATAACCATTATTATTTTGGACTGAGTGATAATTTTTTTCGACAGGAAGAGGTTTGTGTATGTAACTCATTGTCCAGAAGGTCCAGGACTTGAATGCCCCTTGGTAGTAGATACATCAGGAATGTATTTTCGTCCAGAAGGACTAGGAGGCCATTTTCTTCTTGGAGGAAGTCCATATGAGGTTTGTCAAATTTTTACATCAAAATATCCCTTTAAGAAAATTTGCTGATGCTAGAGTAAAACACAGGGAGTTCTAAGCAGAACAATGGCCAGTATGTCAGAATCATGTCATGGGTGGCAATTTCTCTGTACATGCTGAAATAAGCATACTGAAAACATACTTAGGTATCCCTGGTAAATACTACACTCAATAAACCACTTGGCTAGAGAGATCTTCTCTTTAGCAGCGTAATTTTAACAGAATATACATTTTGAACAAGTAACGCAATGATGCATTTCTGCATTCACAATAATTGCCATCTGATTCTCAACCTTATGAAATTTCAGTCATCTCGATCATATTACAGCACTGTATCTCTAGAACTCTAGCTCTGAAATAATATTGCTAAGATATGTACGTTTTCAGTATATGTAGATTACCAACACAACATAGCTGAAATACTGATGATTTACCTACATTTTTCCTTTGGTTTCAAGGATAAAGAACCTGATGCGAGTAATTTAGAAGTGGACTATAACTTTTTTGAAGAGGAGGTGTGGCCACCTTTGGCTCACAGGGTGCCTTCCTTTGAAAAGTTGAAGGTAACTTAGATAGATATTCCTACCATTTCAAAGACAACTGAAATCAAAGATTCCTGCATAACTTTAGTATAAACTATAAAATAGAAATATTTCCTGATAACCTCCCAGTTTTTGACTGGCATGTTAACAGAAACATGGGTATCTTTTAATGCTTGATTTTGTTTTCAGGTTAAGAGTGCATGGGCTGGATACTATGACCATAACACCTTTGATCAGAACTTGGTGATAGGTCCTCATCCTATTCACAGAAACTTTTACTTTGCCAATGGCATGAGTGGACATGGGGTACAGCATGCACTGTGTATTGGGCATGCTTTGATGGAGCTTATCCTTTATGATGAGTATAAGTTTATTGACTTGGATCTGTTCAAATTTGAACGAACCGAACCAGTGTTAGAGCTTGGTATTGTGTGAGGTGATGATCATGTGAGGATATGAATGAACACTTATTTATATACTGATTTAATTATATATTTGATATATATACAGTAAAAATTTGATCTTATTTTAGCTCAGGAAGTATTAAGCTGAGATATGATTGAGATAATTGCAGTTTCTCTGTGGTGTGGTGCACCAAATTAAGTATGTTTACAATATGTGAATCTTATCACATGTTTTGCTAAGGTAAAATATATAGGATCTTGAATGAGTTTCCATTTTTGCATGAGATTTTGTGAATTAAGTCTTGGAATTTTTTATTTCTTTGGGCCTTGGCTAGCAAGAATTTAAACTTTGAGCTGATTTTTAAAATTTCTTATGAAATCAAATCAAATTTTTAGATACTTTCTATCACATAACTCTGAAAAGTTACATTTTGACTAGTTTAAATTCAATTTGGAAGATGAAGATAAACAAAAGTGATCATTTTGTTGTTCCATTTTTAGTTATGATAATGATAAAAACTCCTAGGTGTATTACAATAGTGACATATAAAAGCAATATTAACAGGCGGGTTACGTAATTAAATGATTTGTATTCATTGATAACATACCTTGTTAATCTGACAACATTCCCATGTCAGGTAATAAGTTAGTACTATTTCAGTGTGCTATGATAAGCCAAGACTGACTGCAAATCAGAGATGGTGTTCTGTTATAAGCTCACTTCCAGACTCCGAGTAACAAGTAAAGTGTTGGCCTCCTGGTGTCCTGTGGTAAGCCCACCCCTTGACTCTTGAGTAGTAAGTAATGTGTAGGCCTGTTGGTGTCCTGTGGTAAGCCCACCCCCTCACTCTGAGTAGTAAGTAATGTGTTGGCCTTCTGGTGTCCTGTGGTAAACCAACCCCCTGACTCTGATTAAGAAGTAATGTGTTGGCCACTTGGTGTCCTGTGGTAAGCCCACCCCTTGACTCTGAGTAACAAGTAATGTGTAGGCCTCATGGTGTCCTATGGTAAGCCCACCCCTTGACTCTGAGTAACAAGCAATGTGTAGGCCTCTTGGTGTCCTGTGCTAAGCCTACCCCTTGACTCTGAGTAACAATTAATGTGTAGGCCTCTTGGTGTCCTGTGGAAAGCCTACCCCTTGACTCTGAGTAACAATTAATGTGTAGGCCTCTTGGTGTCCTATGGTAAGCCCACTCCAAGGCTCAGAGTAACAAGTAATGTGTTGGCCCCTTGTCTCTTAGTAGTAAGTAATGTGTTGGCCTCTTGGTGTCCTGTGGTAAGCCCACCCCTTGACTCTGAGTATTAAGTAATGTGTTGGCTTCTTGGTGTCCTGTGTTTATCCCAACCTTAGACTCTGAGTAACAAGTAATGTGTTGGCCTTCTGGTTTGGTAAACCAATCCCCTGACTCTGATTAAGAAGTAATGTGTTGGCCTCATGTGGTCATGTGATAAACTTGGTTTCTAGTTGCTTTTTTGTAAGTGCTTCGAATGGCCCCTTGTCCAGTTTCTTAGCTTATTTTAGAACAAAATGTTTGAAGAATTAACCAATCTAAATACATGGTGCTTTCTTTACACTATACATAAACATTGTTGATTTTCTGTCCATTGGCTGATAAAAAGAATGTTGAATTAATGGTTATTTGCTATATACAATGCTGATTTTATGTCAGTTCAGAATTGATGCTACTTGCACTGGCCATTTCAATATAGTGCAGTCCTATTGTCAAAGTCATTGCTTTATCATGTCAAGGAATATACTATTGATTCTTCCATTCTTTTGCCAAATATTTTCCTTTAAAAGATGTAATGATTTTCATAAAAGTATCATATACACTGCAATATTTCAATCATATGAGAGAAAATACATCTGTATACTGTTACAGATATTTCTGTTAGTATTATTTTTGTGTTGTGTTCTTAATTTTGTCTGTGATGTTTTTTACCCATCCTTATTCCAGTTAAACATTATAATCAGTTGTTTATAAATGTCCTGTTATAGTAATGGAATTGTAAAATCTTTGATTTCTTTGCATGTTTTTTCCTAGAGTTTATATTATGAACCTTGATAAGTGTACTCACAATGAAATCATTGCTTATTCTTAGTTATATAAAAGAAGTCAGAACATTATTTTATATAACAAATTTTAACTTTTTATTTGACAGCAGACACATACACAAGTACAAGCATATATGTATATGGTTCTGATGGCTAAGTGTCATGCTGTAAAACCTGCCTTTAAAAATGATTATTTTTTGTTGGGTGCAATTTTAATCTTCTTTTTTTGTTACTTTTTTGTTTCTAAATACCATTTTGTGAATATTTGATTTCATGTATGAAGAATAGCCCAATAAATCATCTTAATTTTTAACATTAATTAGACACATGTATTTGTGTATTATGGGTACCCATGAAATTGGGCCATGGTAGGCGAGTATTAAGGCCTTCGACTGTCTTTATCACTAGCCCTTCACCTCAGGGTCATGGGTTCAAGACCTACATGGGGCAGTTTCCAGGTACTAGCTGAAGGTCAGGGATTTTGATGAGGAAACTCTGGTTTTTGTCCACCCCTCCAAACCTAGCATGTCCTTACATTACAGTGATAATAGGATGTAAAGCAATAATAAACTCAACCATGAAATAAACGAAAATAATTCCCTCTCAGGAAAATAATGATTTTACAGTTGTTGGTTATCTATAGATATTACCTCCATAAAATAAAAGGACGGCATTAAAATCATGTTTAAGTCATTACATTTAATATGGAAAACTTTTCAAGAAGGCATTAATGATCATGGTTAAAAAATTATAATCTGAATTTATTTTAAACAAAATAGCCTGCTTTAATTTATACTGTAGCTGTTTATTATGCATATAGGAATTTCTCAGTGATATTTATATATGTACATCCAGGTATAGTCACATTTATTGTGCAGCTACAATTATGTGTGTACTATTTAAAATGGCATTAAGATACAACTAAGTATAATCACATCAATGTATCTAAACATACCTTGAAATTTGAGCTATTGGAATAAATACATACATTATGTGTATGTTATTCATAATTTTGTGTACAATATGTCTTTTGAGTGTTACTAGTAATGTTAATTTTGAGTGCTAGAGGGATGCATTTTGTAATGTTTTAAGTCCTGCAATAATACCTAACCCTATGAATGCTGTTTTTCGAGGTCAAAGACTTTTGCAGTTTTACAAAAGGTTGATGCTAAAGAGATGTGTTTTGTCCATGAATTCATGAAACAAACTGTGAATCTCTCAATTTTATTTTTTAGAATATCAATTACATTTATGTGATATGCTCATAATATTAAACTTTCGTTTGTGAATTGGTTGTCGATGATATATAAACAAATCTCTTGATTTGTAAAATGAAATTTTTCTTCTTACTTTCTATGGTCTTTCAACTCATCCACTTCATAGGCTTTTCAAGTTTCCTAAAACTAGATTAAAATCAATACATGAGGCTCATTGGGCATTTGTTCTTGAAATTTCTTGTTCTACTGAATCAAAATGCTACAGAGGAAATACTCACATGACATTAAAGATGGACGTCATTCCTACCATCTTGAAAATCATGTCTTCATTACTTCTTTGCTGAATGGAAATACATTTCAGGAAAGGATTTTTATTTATAGTTTTTTATGTATATTATAATATATATTCCAATGTATATTTCTCTTTTACGTCAAAAGGAATTTATAAGTATGGAGAAGGGAAAGAGAGGATTTTGATAGATAACTTTAACCATGAGGGTCTTAAAACTAAGACATTTATTTGTGATAGATCTGAAACATTTTATAGAATAAATGGCTAATACAGGTACAATGCTTTAAAGTATGTAAAACGGAGATAAATAATACAAAAAATGGACAGTTTATTTTGTTGACTGAATTGTTCTTCATCGTCCTTATGAATATATGCATGCACATGACTGCCACGCCTTATTTACAATATACAAAGTATCAGTATTGCCAGATATACAGTGCCTTATTGAAGCACCTCCATCATGGTTTGTGTTGCGTTGTCGTACACCAAGGTATGTCAAACCACTGGGTAAGAATATCAAAGTCCACCAAATAAGACACTTATCTACTTTTTTTCTGGCCTCTCTGTGGCTAAAAAAGATAAAAGAAAAGAATCATCAATTTTTAAACATTCAGTGAGAATTTGGCATTACTTGTTAAAATCTGTTATCAGATATCTAGGTTAAAATTGGTTACAGAATCATCTACACTTTACCATTATCATAATTATATATGTATAAACAATGTTTACAATACCATTTTCACTGATGAAATATATTTATACACTGTCCTCCATAAATATCAAACACTTTTTAAAGAAATATAAAAAAATTCAGGAAAACAAATATGATAGTCTGATACTGTGTTTTTCATGATAATGCGTTTAAACTTACTAGTAGTGTTTGATATGCATATGTAGCTTAGAGAGATATAAAAATGTATCTCAAATATAATTTTTCTGTAATATTACATGTTATATGTCATTTCAGAAATTTATTGAAATTTGGAACAAACAACAGGATGGATGACGCTAAAATTTGTTGAAATTTTCAGAAGATACTTGTATATTTTAATACAACTTAATGACTCAAATAAATACATAAAGTGATAGAAGCTGAGATAATGAGATTAATATTGCTCTCTGTAAGGTAACATATCTTCAACATACAAATAGTTATGTAATGGTATATATAAATTCACAAACATATCCTCTTTGCAAAGTGTTTTTGTGACAGATATCTGCCACCCTCTTGTTTTTGTTTATAATTTGGAAATTCAAAATTACTTGCTATAAGTATGCATTAAGAATGACAACATCCCATAATACCAATTAATTAACCATTTCATGTGTAAACACTTAAAATTAAAATGATAATGATGAAAATTTAAATGATCAAAGAGAAAAAAAATTCTTTATTTTTGAAAACAAAATCATATTTAATTGAGATCAGAGCAGGAAGTATGTGCAGACTGGCTGTGAGGATACAGATAATTCACCAGGATGTTGAGGGAAGTGGGGAAGATGTGACACATCAGGGGAAATACATGCAAAACCATTGCAAGAGCATGATGTTTGTTGCTCATGACACCATGAGAGAGATGAAGGACAGCATAAAGTTTGTGTCATTTGATCTACATGTGTTTGCAGTTTCCTATGATCAACTTTGTTTTATTCTAGCTTGTTCCCTTGATATACATTTGAAAGTAATAATCTGATGAGAAAACCATCACAACAAATGGATATTTTATGTGTTATACTCTGATGGTTACTTTACTCACAATAATGAACAATTCCTCACAATCATCAATATTACTTACTGATAACTTTTTTTAAAAAAATACTCAGAAACATTACACTCTGTAAAACTAGATATTCCTAGGGCTATGTAATTTGCCCAGAATGTAGCAAATTCCTCATTGTAGAATCTATTTGTTAAACATTACATTGTGTTGTCAGAAAAGTCCACATTGAAATGTCAAGTTTTAGGCAGAGTGCATGTTACCCTGGTAGTTAAAATCTTGGATCACATGTCTTGGATTATGATTAAGGTTAGATTAAACAAAATGTTAATTAAAATTTAGATTTTGTCTCTTGATAATGTGTTATTTAGAGCTAATAGTTTACAAGTACAACAACAAATAGTCATTCAATTAGACTACAATGTACTAAAATTGTCTTGTCATACAACATTGATCAGCAACACAACTACGTCAGTTACATATATAAATATTGGGTGGATAAATCTCCGAACTGCATGAGCTTCTACTTCAGCAACTGGCTATTATCAGTCACAGTTATTATAATAACATATTTGTTTAAATTAATTAGATTGTACTTCATTATTACAATGACACGAAAACAGATAACAAGAGTCCATCATGTTTAAAGAACACTACTTGTGCTAATCATAATGCATTCAACACTAGATTCAGTCACCCATTACCAGCCAATACATGCAGTAACACAAGCCTGACCAGTGGTACACCATTGATTATACAAATATGACAGAAATTAGACAAATTTCAACCACTTACATCAAGCCATGATTTTGCACAAAAAAAATTCTCAGCTTTTCCTTGCAAATATTGTAATCTTTCTTTTTTGCAATAAATCTGTTTTTTTTCAATTTTGATCAATGAAAAAAATTGTGATTTTTCTAAAATTCAAGTTAAGGAGTGATAATTGCTTCAATTTATCAATTAGAGATTCATAATGATATTTCACAATTTCAATAAACATTTTTTGCAATTTGTTTTTAATCAGCTCTGTTTAAATCTGCTTCAAATCTACATCTCCATATCAATTATATATTTACTATGAAATCATTGTAATATTGACACATTAGATTATGAAAACACACATTAAAACAGTACAATGTTATGCTGTGTTGCGCTTGTATACAAACGATGAGTTTATGAACCACACTAGATAATGTAGTACAATGCCACAAATGCAGACATTCAATAGTTACTTACTGTTTCCACTGTAGAGAAAGAAATACAACATTAATTTCTATCAATGTTTAACTTTGCCTTTTACTTTCTCATTCAAAATAAAATATGTACACAGTGGTGTATTTCACATACTAAAACTGTTCAATTTGCCAAAGAGGTCTGGGCTTTTTTGGTTTTTTTTATGATTTAATAAAGCAGGATGTTTTGCTCTTCTTGAAATACATTTTCACATACCTTTTGCTTATTGTAACTGTAGAAGTGTGAAACATCAGAGAAAATGTTCTTTACAGTATTAATTTTTTGTATCAAATAGGATATCTTACTGACTAATGATAACACAAGAAAACCAACCTAGACATTTTATGACATTAACCACATATTGTTAGTATATATTGTAACAGTATAATAATGATCCAATGCTGATTTTTCACTTTCCATTTAAATCTGATACAATTTTATCAATAAATCGAGGTCCTTGGTCTTACCTGCTTGAATTCAATATTTTTGATGGACTTAGTTTACTCTACCTTGATTTCATTATCATGTATTCATTTTTTAATTACCTGGTTCTGATAATTTCTGGTAGATCGGGGCAAGGATTTCATCAAAAGCCTGTTTCTGTACAAGGAAGTCCTGTGTTGTAGCATCAACTGTATTATCAACCCATTCAGTCTTTTCCTTACAGGTGTTCAGAGTCAGGTTCTGTACAGTGAAAAAAACAAAACTAACAAACTGACACATTATACAATACACTTGTAAAGCAGACTGATAAGGCACAAATAAATGTTTAAATATCTAGTATGGAATAAAGTTAGTACAATATACAATTTCTTTTAACCATACTCCTAGCTGTTTCATTCTTATATTCATTTCAGTACAAGTACACTGTACAATACATTTCTCTTTCCAACATAACTGTTCCAACCCAGAGTACTTTTTCCCCACACCATTTGTAAATGGGAATATGTACTAAATCCCATATAAACAATAATGTGTATATATGTATTATTTTACCTTGTCATCTTTAGTGAGTCTGCCTTGAACTTTCTCAGGATCTGCAATGGTCTCCTGGGCATTACGTATAGCATCCTGTAGAGCTACTTTAGCTTCTATAACAACACAGCATTATTATTATCAGACAAATGATTAAAGAATTTGAATACAATACATGCATAACAAAACATCAGATGAGCACTGTGAGTTTATCATCCTGCCACCTTATTTACAGTTTGCAGGTCCATTATTAAGCATCCTGTTTTTTTCACGTTAATGAATTTGACTTGGTATTATCCCTGCATATGAAATAAACGAGATAATAGGACACACATATAATTTTACTGTGATGCTATCTGCTACAGACTAGAATAATTAATATGTTACTTTTCTTATGAAATAATTTTGATAAAAACTGACCTGCCCAGTCTAAGTAATCTACACATTCTGTTTGATTATATCGTAGAGCAGTCTCTCTGGGACGTTCATTATTTGTATTCCTATGCTGTAGTCCAGCCTGAGCTTCAATGAGAACTTTCAGTACACCAATACGTCCCCACGCACTGGCATGATGAAGGGCACAATATCCTGAAGGTCAAAATATTTCAATATATAAATATATAATACATGTAATAGCTACCTATATGTAGTCAAGACTATTTTGTTATAGCTACAAAATGTAATTGGTTTCCATAATGACAAAGTTATGTTCTGCAAATTCAGTCTGTAATTAAAATAAAAATTATTGCATTTGATTCAACAATATTTAATCAATATATAAATATATAATACATGTAATAGCTAGAAACATAAACTATAAAATGTAGTCAACACAGACTATTTTGTTATAGCTACAAAATGTAATTGGTTTCCATAACTGCATTTTTGGCAGAAGAAATCTAAGGTCTTGAACGCTATCTGGATATCTTAATTTTGATACCTTTTGTTGTCACAGAATTAACATCAGCTCCTCTCGTAATGAGTTCTTTAGCAATGTCTACACGGTCTAACGTGGCTGCAATGTCGAGCGGTGCCTTTCCATCATCATCGCGCTGGTTTATTAGCTCGCCAACTGTCTCTTTATATGGGTCCTCGTCGCTCTCAAAACATTGCACAAGTCTTTCAACATCGTTTTTCAAAACACAGTGTGTTACAATAGTAGTATTTGGAAGTAAAACCTCTACTTCTTCTACTGGTTCCTCTTCTCCTGATTGGCCCTCATTTGTCGGTGTTTCGTTCGTCATCTTTTTCTCACAAAGTTCACTCTGCGTTTGTTTCCATCCAAACAAATGACGTTTCTGACATGGTCTTTGTGACGTTTGCAGAGAAAGGAAGTGTATTCAGCGTAAAGCGTCTATACGACAATAATGGGATACACTAATTTTAAAACTAACGGTGTCGATACGGTTAAATAATTCCGGCTCTCAACTGGTTTTAGTTTAGCATTATATCTAAGTCCGTGATTTCATTTTGAATTACAACAATATATAACAAATGAATAGAATTTTATATGGTCTGGGAAAATAGCATTAACCATAACATCTAACGGAGTCTAATATCAATTGATTGATGTTTTCACATATGGAGTATATGTTTAATTTCAAGGCCAATGTAGGGTAGTATTATTCCGGAACATGAACAATCAATTGTCCCAAATCACCGACTTAGGTAATGAATTAAAAACTGTTTGCAATTTAATTAAATTATCATGCCTTTTCTTTTTAATGTCTGAAATAAGATTATATCGCTACTTAATATTACACAATGAATTATTTAAGAAAATTATTTAAGTTATCTATAAAGTACAAATGCAGAAAATGAGAATTATTATTTTATTTTTGAATTTCTGCATTGTGATGTACATTAGGCCTGAAAGTAACAATCATCTAGCTGCGAATTATTTTTTAACAATTGATGAAACAAGATTGAAATGTGTGCGTCGTCTTTTGGAGGATACTGAAAGTAAGTAAATTTGTAGACAAGGATTTGTATAAATTATTTTTGTATGTCGCAATAAAAGAAAGCCTCAACACAAATGTATCTTTTTTTCACACTCCGAAGATGATAACTTATATGTATCAATGTGTTTGTCAATTAACACATGAATGAACAGTAATGCAATTATTAATGATTAGAAAAAGTGAGTTCACATCAACATTTGGGGAATTTGTCAGTTAGATATACAACGGTCATCTTACGACAAAAGTATTTCTTACAATTACACACGACATTAGGTACCATCATATATATCATATCAGAGAGCGTTGTTATTTACTTTTTTATTTATTTGAAAGGTCACACTAGGTGCAATATATAATAAATATGTAAAAAGGTGTTTCTGATACAAAGTCAATAAATGCAATAAATAAATAAATAAGTTACAATAAGAATCAATTCTATAAGATAAATGATCTTTGTTTCATTGAAAATGCATGGTTATCAATTGGCAGATTTAATCTACCAAAAGTTAAATGTTCTTGTATTCATTGAGAACATCATTTTGAAATAATATTTTCGGGAGAACCGATTTATTTTCTGCATAAGCAAAGTAAGCATCTTTCTCTTTACTATTTTTATTACTATTACCTTGTTTGCCATGAATTATGAAAAACACATAAGAAAACAGTAATACACATCTATTAAGATATAAAACTAAATTTTCTTACTGTCCTTGACTTATGTTCTCATTTGATTAACAAATAATCTAACAATAAAATGACAATTAAACTACTCAAAACATTTACACAATATGCATTTTACAATGCACTTGGTACTGGTTTGTTTTGATATTTTCGAATGATTAAATAAAATAATAAAAATAATTGGAAACCGGTTTATAGCTGAATCAAAATTGAAATATCATGTTTTATCCATATATAGTAATTATTCCATGAAATTTCCTCTCCTTGTACTTTGAAGGAGAGGTTTTAATATGTGAAATATTCAGTTATTGGATACGTTTATCATTCGTTGAAAATATGTAAAATTTGCATTATATATAGTGTCGTTTCGTTGCTCTTTGCAAAGTGATGCTGTGACAAAGTCATTATCATTGTCGATGTCCGAAAACAATTTATCAGAAACTTGAAATCCTCCAAAACACAAATATTTGTCATTGGTGTCCATATTGGACCGAAAACTCGGTTCGAGCCTGTTCTTTTATGCGGAACGAAACCGTGCCAACTGCGTGTCGTTACGACAGCGCCCCAGCTAACAAAAGGTGTGAATTTGCAGTTGCAAATCTCAGACCACCATGTCACCTATTGACGACGCATAGCATAGAGAAAATTATTTCAACCTAATTCCAAACGGCCAATCGGTTGAAATTATATCGTCACCTGAGACCATGGATTGTATACCCGCGATGGCTACCACAAGCATGTAGGTTTCTCTCTATTAGTAAGAAGGTTATATCGCTTGTCTAAGGACCGTGAGCAAGACAACAACCTAAATATCTCATTTGACATCGTGACATCAAATCATATTGCGGACAACCGTAATCCAATAATCGGACTAATAAAAACACACACCAAGCAATACCTCCAGTATAATTACGGTACGCTTTTGTACAAGCTATATAAGGTGCAAGATACGTCAATTGACTCATCAATGTCGTCTGTGTAACCGTAAACTATTACATAAACCTACAGCAAAGTTATGACATCCATACTTTACAAGAGTGAAAATAAAACATTATGTTAACTTCAATTTTGATTGACTAGTTCAAGTTCATTAGTATTCAAACCTATGATGTACACATACCTTTGTGGACAGTGTATTGAAATGCTTATAGACCTGTCATTAATGACAGCGGTGTCTGTTAACTCCGCCCCAAATACAGGTACAGCATCACTCACCATGTAACATGTAGAGCTCAATAGACTCATCATACGATGATGAACCTAATGGACGCAATAATCATGAAGTGGATGAAGGTGTTCCTGTTTATGGTAAGTCTGTTATTTTACACCTGTAAACTTTAGACACTCGATCCAGTGTTACTTCACACCTGTAAAGACACACTGTAGACAATCCCAGAAACACGCATTACAAAAGTGTCGTCACCTTGTTCATGTAACATTTATCAACGTGACTAATAACACAGAACTCCGCACATATACACACGTGTGCATATGTAATTATACTAGAAAGAAAAGTTTTACTTCTACAAAACTGAGACAAAATTCTGGAAATTTTCTTCAATAATTGGTATTTTACTAATGTTGAATACATACCGAAATTCTGATATCAATGTGGATCGTAATCTCATAAAGCTCGAGATGTGAAATTGTTAATCAAGTACAGAATGCAGGTATATCAAAACAATATACTATCTGTGAATGAGTACAATGGCTCATTATTCTAACATCACAAATTAGATGTAACCGAACCTCTGTGTCAATCCTTCAATGTTCTTTATCCCGAAGGCCATTCAAAGTTGACTTTACAATGTCTAATTGTTTGACCCTGAAACCGTTTTTAGCTTACGGAGAATATGAATCACTGTTACTCTATATAACGTGTGTAGTATATAATCTTGAAATAAACACGGAGGTGACTTTAATCGCCCGAGAACAATCAGCGACGACATTGTGACATGACATATTCAGATAGCGTAACGCGCGGTTAGTTTTTTGATTGGAATGTAAATTAGTTAGGAGTTTTTAGCTTCATCAACCATTCTGTTTTTAACTACTCCGATGTATACGTTTATACACATTACAGTATACAACTTTGAAAACAAGCTAAAGTAAACTACATGGACATCTCTCTCCAACACTACATGTTCATACGGGAACACCGAATCTGACATATAACAAATTGAGTAATAAACAACATTATCTGACCACAATCAACACAGTTATCTGATTTATTGTACAATTAAATGCTATTGCGCCATACATATCTATGGAATATACATTTGTACATATAAGCAAATCAAGCAATAGACAAAATAGGTTAACAAACAAACAAAAACAAACAAACAAGCAAGAAAAAAACCCGTGTCAAGCACTGGCAGTATGCCACCTAGTTAATACCTCGATTTGTGTGTCTATCTAGGTGGTGTCTTGTTTGCCGTCCAATCAAATACACACTTCCTCTATAATAGTGATGATATGTAAAACGATTTCTTTCAGGAACCAGTGTATTTTGTCGACGCACCAAATTAAATAAAAGTGGGTGGTATTTGAAGCACCTTGAGTGACTACCCATGAAATAGGAATAAAAATTTCAAAAGGTTCGTAAGTCCTGTGCTACGACCCATTTAGTGTCGTGGCCATAGGGGTATGAAAGGGTTCAGTTTTTCATCTGAAAAAAGGATTAAAACCACAGCGCACATTACCAACTGATATACTGTATAATAAACAAGGATCTGTTTGACAATATGATGGTAAATATGTATCAAAATATTGACCAAAAAAATCTTATAGCCTTAAAATTGAAAAAGTATGATTTCAGCTAAGACACTTTTTCATGTACCTCCAGTGTGCGTGCAGCAAAAATCTTTATACATCATTTGGCCCTTTATGTTAAAACATTTGGTGAAAATGTCAGGAAATTGGTAGGGAGACTTTCTTTGCACTTGCATGTCTTACATACAAAGTACAATAGTTTGAGAAAATACTGTTATGATTTTCTGAAGATAATTAACTATAGAAAATTGAAAAAAATTGAATCATGGGATTAGCGCACCTCCTGTTCTAAGTCCTTGCATTTATTTCAGCCTAATTTGACTTGCCTTACTTGCCCTCTAGATTCCCATACTTAAAGTTCCTAGCACCCAAGACATAGGTGGACGAAACTGTGGCATGATGCAGCGTTTTCCATTATTTGGCACATGTACCTACTGTACATGCAAATAACACTTTAGATTTAAGCATATTTATTTTGTCAAATAAGTACAAATGGGATTTTGGCACAAGTTTGCTAACTTATATTAAGCCCTTACCCAAAAACTAAAACAACACACATATTTACAAAATGGCATGTTACATACATATGAATCTAGGAGAGAGGGAGAGGGTGGGATAGAGAGAGAGGGGGGGGGGACAGACAGAGAAGTCGGGGTAATTAAATACACACAAAACTACTTTTTAACACATACAAATATACATACTTATACTTAGAATGAGGACAGTCTCCCTCCGACACCGACAGTAGAAGTTGACACTACACTTCAAAAACTTTCGACTTATCTATTTTTCATCACATCCCGTGCTTTGATTTGCGTGCTCCTTTTCAC